TTTGGGGTGTCCGGGTGGGGATTTGGGGTGATTTAGAGGGAATTTGGGGTGTCCGGGCGGAGTTTTTGGGGGACAAATCTCGGATTTTGGGGAGGGGGGGATCCCCGGGGTGTCCCCGCGGTGACGTCACAGGGAGTGGCGCGTGTCCCCTCCCCCCCCAGGGCCTGTCCTCGCACAGCGGCGGCTCCCCGAGCGGCACCGTGGTGTAGCTGTCACGCGTGTCACCGCCCGCGTCACGCGTGTCACCTCCCGGGTCACGTGTGTCACCCTCCAGGACACGCCTGGGTCACGCGTGTCACCTCCCGGGCCACGCGTGTCACCTCCCGGGTCAGCTGCGTCACCCGTGTCACCTCCCGGGTCACGCGTGTCACCTCCCGGGTCAGCTGCGTCACCCGTGTCACCTCCCGGGTCACCCGTGTCACCCTCCAGGACACACCCATGTCACGCGTGTCACCTCCTGGGTCACGCGTGTCACCTCCCAGGTCACCCGTGTCACCCTCCAGGACACACCTGGGCCACCCGTGTCACCTCCTGGGTCACCTGCTTCAACCATGTCAGCTCCCGGGTCACCCGTGTCACCTCCCGGGTCACCCGTGTCACCCTCCTGGACGCACCTGGGTCACCCATGTCACCTCCCGGGTCACGCGTGTCACCTCCCGGGTCACCCGTGTCACCCTCCAGGACACGCGTCACCTGCCGTGTCACCCGTGTCATCCTCCAGGACACATGTCACCTGCTGTGTCACCCGTGTCAGCTCCTGGGTCACCCGTGTCACCTCCCGGGTCACCTGCGTCACCCGTGTCACCCTCCAGGACACATGTCATCTGCTGTGTCACCCGTGTCAGCTCCTGGGTCACCTGTGTCACCCCCAAGGACTCCTGTGTCACCCGTGGGTGTCACCCTCTGAGTCAACCGTGCCACCCCCAAGGACTCCCGTGTCACCCATGGGTGTCACCCTTGTCACTCCCAAGGACTCCCGTGTCACCCGTGTCACCCTCAAGGACTCCCGTGTCACCCACGGGTGTCACCCTTGTCACCCTCAAGGACTCCCGTGCCACCTGTGTCACCCGTGGGTGTCACCCTCTGGGTCACCCGTGCCACCCCCGTGTCACCAGTGGGTGCCACCCTGTACTACTGAGACCCCTGGGATGTCCCCACGCTGTCCCCACGGGTGTCCCCGGTGTCCCCACGGGTGTCCCCACGGTGTCGCCACGGGTGTCCCCGCTGTCCCCACAGTGTCCCCGCTGTCCCCACTGTGTCCCCGCTGTCCCCACGGGTGGCACCGCTGTCCCCACAGTGTCCCCGCTGTCCCCACGGTGTCCCCGCTGTCCCCACGGGTGGCACCGCTGTCCCCACAGTGTCCCCGCTGTCCCCACGGTGTCCCCGCTGTCCCCACGGGTGTCCCCGCTGTCCCCACGGTGTCCCCGCTGTCCCCACGGGTGTCCCCACGGGTGTCCCCGGTGTCCCCACGGGTGGCACCGCAATGTCCCCATGGGTGTCCCCGCTGTCCCCACGGTGTCCCCACGGGTGTCCCCGCTGTCCCCACGGGTGTCCCCGCTGTCCCCACGGGTGTCCCCACGGGTGTCCCCGCTGTCCCCACGGGTGACACCGCTGTCCCCACGGGTGTCCCCACGGTGTCCCTACGGGTGGCACCGCAATGTCCCCACGGGTGTCCCCGCTGTCCCCACGGTGTCCCCACGGGTGTCCCCGCTGTCCCCACGGGTGTCCCCACGGTGTCCCCACGGGTGTCCCCGCTGTCCCCACGGGTGTCCCCGCCGTGTCCGGGTCCCCCCGCCCCCCCCCGCCTTTGTCACTTTATTGTCCCCACGGGGCCACCGCGCCCCTCCCCCACCCCTTATTTATACTAAAAAGAGAATTTTTGGCACCCGGGTGGCACCGGCCTGGCGGGGAGGGGACA